CTGCCACTGCCATTGCCGCTGACGCTGCTTGCTTTTCCTTGCAAAGAGGAGCGATTAGCGAGATTCTCCTAATAAGAAGTACCAACGCAGCATCCCGCTATTGAAACAGTTATGATGAATTACGTTCTTCATAAGAGCACATTTCTATTAGCTCGAAGTAATCGAAAGGAGAAATAAAGAGAAAGAAAAAATGAGAAAAAGGGAGAAGAGTTGAAAAAAAAAATACCAGAAAAAAAATAATAATAAGATGAAAAAATAAGACCAAACAAATTGAACTAGATCGGGATCAATGACATGCAAACGAGTTAAATCATTGGACTAACGGATAACTGGTTGTTTAGAGAAATATTCAAGAGAAAGAAAAAAAAGGTCGTAACGTTGCTTTATAGCAACAACAGATGTTTCGAATTTTTATAAGAAAGCAAAGACTTTTGTAAGAAACAAGTTCGAAGTTCTCGATCATGGAGAAAGAAAGAAATAAAAAAAGAAAGAGAGAAAGAGAAAGAAAGAGAGAGAGAGAGAGAGAGAGAGAGAAAGAGAGAGAGAAAGAAGAGAAGTGTGTCGAGTAACAGGTCGTACAGCGGTTCGATTGAAGGTATTTCCAAGCTCAAGTGTTATCGAGCAAGCTGGAATGCAAGGGAGAATCATTTCCGAGAAGATGATGGATAAAGTATGTAGTTTTTATTGCTTCAAAATATCCATGATAAAGATTAAATTTCCTGAGTCAAATTAGAACAGCTCTTTCATATTTTTATAAATATAGGATTCTTAGAACGAAGTTTAAACGAACACATTTTAGATTGTGAAAGTATCAGCTGATTATAAGAAAACAAATCTATCATCATTTCTCGAGGAATTATCGCATCTTAAATCTTCGATTAATTTTCTAATTAATCGATATATTATATTGCATTCTTTAATAAAGAAAAAAAAAAAAAAAAAAAAAAAAGAATATATGTGGACCGATTGTAAGAGATGACGTGAAAGATCGATTTGAGAAAGTACGATGGTATATATCTTTGTAAAGTACGTAAAAGGTATCCTCGTGAGCGTCGTCAATTCATTTAAACGACTTTCTAGATGCTCCACAAAAAATTGATTTATATATATTTATAACGTATAAATCAAAAAGAATAAGAATTTCGAAATTGTAAAAAAAAAAAAAAATAATCTCACATTTTAAATATAATGATACCAATACTTTCTTAGAATTTATCGAAATTGAAATCTTGCTGCCCCGAGCCTTAAATCAGATCGTTTAATAAATATACCGCAATGTCATCTCTAAGCTACTTGTGATTTTGTTTTCATTGTCTGCTAAATATAAAATCGCATTCCATGATGGTAATATCCGTGTCCAGGTCAGATTCTGAATCATTAACTTACTCGCATTTTCAAAGTCGACCACGGTTTCTTTTCTAATTTATTAAGGATGCGGATGTCACAACAAATTTGACCTATAAAATAATTATTATAAACTCAAATAAAATAATTATAAAAAATAATTATGAAGTGTTGTACCTATACATACGATAAAATATTATGCACTTAAAGTTGTTTATAATTCTTGACATTTGCCGTAACGTTTAGTATTCAAATGAGATGATTATGCAAAAATTACACGTCGCTACAACTTCTATCGAGTATAACATTTACATAGGACATCTTTGTAACTCATCAAACGGGATCAGAGCGACTAAGTATAGTGTAGTATGCTTATAAATAGTAAAAGGGTGAAATATAGTCTCTTATCGACATTAGAAGTTAATAATATTTTTTTTTTATCAGTATTACGTCCGTACTATTTATTTGACATGCAACACATAAAATGTATATTTAAATAAATTGAATGTCCAATTGTTTATCAAAACTCTATTGTCTTTAAAAATTCCCTAATTACGTTAATTTAATCGAGTATTTTGGAAAAATCAATATATTTCCGTCAAAATAGATTTCACATGATTTCCTCGCGTCATACTTTCAAGTTGAAAAGTATAACTATTTCATATTGGAAACACGTTTACAACTTGTTACGTTCTAAAATGAGCTCACACATGCACATATATATTTATCCAGTTTCGTGCAATCGGCGGAAATAACAATGATAAAAATCTTTAACTAAATTGCGGAACGCACAACCAGTTATGTGATATTCTTTCTTTGTATATCCCAATTTTCTTTATCAATTAAATCTTCAAATAAGAATTAGAAAAATATTTCAAGCGGTTCACATTACATTCTAATATATCTTGGAATTTGTATACTACATTGAGTATCTCCATACACATATACACACACATACATCAGTTATTATTTATCCAACTGTATATTTTATTATCTATCAGTCATTGATTATTTACGAAACTCAAGAAGTAAATAAAAGTATGAAAAATAAGGATTGGATAAAATAAAAAAAAAATTAGAAAATCAAAATGTGTTCATATAAACAAAGAAAATAGAAAGCAAAACAGTGTTGAAGAGGAGATGTCATCAGAAGATCATTTGAAAAATACATTTTAAGTGGAGCTTAGGATGCATATCGGGGATAGGCCAGTTCCATTGAAAATAGAATCAAAGCCGAGTGATCATTGGCCAAACGGTTTTCCCCCACGTGCGTCCGCAAGCTATATAGAAGACCCCGCAAGGAATTTCATCTTCAGAACTGAAAGTCAGTGTCAAGGAAAGGCTACCTGGAAATATCGAAGTGAGTAGAAAAAATCGCTTCTCCTGTTCCCTCGTCGAACTCCTTCCGGTGTAGAAACAATATTCGCAATTTATCAAAACACATTTAAAGCTTTTCATTTGATCTCCTTTTAGAGTTTTCTGAGATCAATTACATCAAATTATTTGACGATTTTAATGTGCGAATTTAATTTTCTGAATCTAATTAATATTATCGATACTTTAATAATATTTAATGACCGATTTCTTTCACAAATCATAAATTAATGAAATAAATAAAATGAGTGATTATTGCGATAAACAAAACAAAAAAAATATAATATTAAAATTTTATTTACTTTTCGTTTCTTCCTTCGACGATGTTTTTTATTTAAATAATAATTACTCGTTCATGTAATAATTTAAAATCCGTTGGTATGAAAATAAATATATATAATATTAAAATTTAATCTACTTTTTCGTTTAATTGAAAAATTATTTCTATATATAGAAAATTATCGTACAGACTTGCGTCACGAATGATCGTACGATTCGACGAGGAGTTTGACACGATTAAAAAGACGAGAACAGATAGAAAATACCTATTCAAGAGTTAATGTACAGTTAGAAACGTGTTTGCGATTTTTCCAACAGGACGAGTAAGTACCGTTTTCCAAAAGACGAATGACAACTTTGCGACAAGAGACTCGTTTTCTTTCTTTTTTCTTTTTTTGCAAATCGACGAAAAACTGAAATATTTCAATCAAATTTGCCATCATTTACAATAGTATGGATATTTAAAATAATTATGTTTGTTTGTTGTTTTAACAATATTGAATCTATAATTCAATAACAATTTATTTTCATTGAAGTTTATTTTCAATTACATTTATTAATCTTTCTCTTGTTCATAAGTCCATATAATCGATATAATTCATATAATCCAATGAATAGACTATATCTATATTTTGATGACACTTCAATATAACAATTAGTAAATATAAATCTTGGCAAATGGCACACAAAATCGAATTCATTCGACAAAGCGAATCATTATGGCAGATATTATTAATAGATAGAGAATATTTAACACATTTGGATGATAACAATCGATTATTTACTTTTACAAATAAACGACATTTAAACAAAGCCTCTCTAATAATCATTACAATTCATTATTATCCATTCAATGTTTATAATAATTTACAAAATACATATATATATAATTTTGACTCGAAATTTCACTTTCGATTTAAGTCATGAATATTTTTCGAAAAATTATTGAAACGGACCACTTGCTTCTTCCGTTTCTCTTCCCTTTCTTTTTATCCTCTCTTCTTCAACGTCTTCTTCGTCATTTTTCCAAGTCGACAACGAGGAAGAGGAGAGTAGGTCATGGCCGCCTTTTCGAGCTAACGGTACGCACTGAGTTCAACAAACCAGCATCGATCGAGAAGTGGGCTAACGAGCAATCATGTTGCTCGCTTATCGAGCCGACCTTAACCGCCATGACACACTTTCCAAGCATCTACTACCGTTCCCGCATACTCACGAAAGTCCAAAGCTGTTTTCTTCCACTTGTTCCATATAACATTCATTCTACACCTCATTCGATTTACGAAGAAGTCGAACTAAAGTCGAAATGGTTTCTTCCTTTCGTTCCTATTCGACTTCGTCCTTGGCAATGACAATGAGTCGCAATTACTAGTGAGTCGAGAGTGGCATCATTCTCCTCGATTTAACAACGAGTAAATCGGAAAGCGTGAGAATTGATACACAGAAAGGAAACTTACCTGAGAAATTAAATTAATGACAGAGAAAGTACAAGAGATTATTTTCTCAAGGGCTCTTTCCGAGACTATTGATCGATTTTTCATATTTAATTTTTATTACATCATTCTTTCTGCATGTTGTATATATATATATATATATTATCTTAAATTAATATCATCGTTGTATTAATTAATATTTTATAAAGAAACGTTATTTCATCGTCTATCGACATTTCAGTCAATTATACATCTATAATAAATCAATCGAATATTTGGATATTTTGTAACATTGAATAACTTTTTCTAAACCAAATATGATATAAAGTTATTGAAAATTGAACAAATTATTAGAGTGAACAGTTTTTTGTTAATACTTCATATACTTTATACAAATACAAAAATAAAAAATTCAAAGTACTTTGACTTGTGTAATGAAAAAATTATTCAATTTCAAGAAGTGTCAAATATTTACGTGAAATGTTACATAATAGGATTCATATTACGGTTTACGGTCTTACTAAATGGCATACGTTTGTATTAGGATAATGGAAAAGCTGCGATAATGATTAACTTCGATAATTAATTAATCGACGTTAATTAATTGTTATCAATATCGATTTCAGGATGACTTTCAATCAGCGCATTGCATTATGCTTGGTGGCACTTGTCATTGGACAAGCTACAGCATTGCCACAGCATCCCCAGTACACTCAACAATATCCTCAGCAATATCAGCAACAAGTTAGGGATGAGAGAAAGTTCGCTGAGAAACCGAACGCTATGAAGAAAGTTGCGATCGACGATCTCGAGGATATCAGTACTAATCAAATTCAAGTTAGTTGAAAAATAATTCGAAAATTTTTTTGTTAGCGTTGCCATTTGCATCTTTAATAACAATATGCATATACACATTCGATTTTCCCGAATATTTTCATTGAAATGTATTTTAGAACAACATAATTAAATATATTATATTTCTTTTTTTTTTTATCTAACATATCATAGTTCACTGAATTTTTTGAATATTTTATTAATATATAAGTTTTTTGGGATCACAATAATAACTGAATTTTCTATAATCGCTTCGCTTTTCTCATTGCGAAAATTAAATTTTATTTAAACAAAAATATTTTAATGATAAAGACATATTGGTACAAATGGGTTAATTGAATTACTATTGATTCCATCAAATTCTTATCTTATGTTCTTTAGGAAGGAAGCAGCAGTGGTTTCTCGTGGTCTAACATGCTAGGAATGTTCATGCAAATGCTTCTGGGTCAAACGGGAGGCATCACTGGACCAAGCAAAAATGACATAGACGAAGGTGTTCCAGCTAGTCCATGGGCGAATCTTCTCTCCGTTGGTCTCCGAGTACTCACGGCACTTTTAGGTGGTCCTCAACAATCCGTTGACGGTATCGACAAAGTCGATAATCAAAGCAGTCCCATGCAGGTATTCGATAAGGTCATTAACGTCGTCCAGATCATCTCAATGATTTTCGATGTGTACACTAAGTATAGAAAGAAATCGTCGGAAGATAGAAATTCATCAATTTGTATATAAAAAAAAAAGCTTGTTTATAATAGTAATACTTACCTATCCTTGTACAATTTCACGAGATAAGCTATATCATCGATAATTGCAAAGCCAGTAGTAGCCTTATACACAGAGCACTTACACAATAGATCATCAATATGTTTCTCTCATGCACATAATTAGGAAACATGCAAAAAGCTATATTTGCTTATTACGCTACGCATTATGTCGTATTTATGTCGTGCTCGTTTATATAGTTGAAAATATCATAGCAAGCCAAACAATTCTCTTAAATATTTAATTTTAACTTTCTTGATAATAAGAAGACGATTGCCTCTTCCCAGATTGCTCTGAAGAGGGATTGAGTATTGGCTGCTCACATTAATGAGTCCCATTGTAAAGGTAGAAAAATGCATGACTAAATCATTTTTATCATTGTCTCCTTCTCTCTTTTTTATTTTTCGTATGGCTGAAGGAGTTTCGTTAACGATCTTCACGTTCTCTAAACGATTTAATTAGAATTTCAAAGAGGTTTCTATTGTTGCGAAAGGTTGACATTATTTTTCTATTTTACTCGTACATTGTTATGGAGAAAGTTGAAAAGATTTATTTGTTTTTTAATATAAAAACGAATAAACGAAGGATGTTTAATAATATAGCTCGAATGACAATGTTTAACGCGATTTGAAATAGACGCGATTGGCATATTCTTCCTGTAAATAAACTTCAAAATTTCGACTTAGCGCACATGGCTGGTGTCGGTTGTTTAGGAAATTTTGACTGCGGTGTTGGGCGCGTTTCTAGGACAGGGCAGAGACCCGAATCAGGTTGCTGTCATGGCTAAAAATGCTTCAGAGGTTAGTACGATTACGAAGAAAATTCATTTTCGAGCATAACAAGTTCAGGACATTTTATGTGAAATAATTATTAACGATATTAGCTTTGTTTATTATATCAATTTTACTAATTTTTCTTTTTTTTTTCATTCTTATCAACTTGATTTTCGTTTCACGTTCAAGAAATAAAAATCTATAGATAGCATCCTTGATCGACAGAAAATAATAATATTATAAAATAATAAGATCTACAAAGAGGGGACCACTTAATTTGTGACGAAACAAAAATCAAGTATGACTATTTCTACTTTCTAGACTCGCATGCTTCTATTCTTTCTCTCTCTTTGTTTACTTTTCTTCTTTTTATTTCGTGCAACAGCGAGCAAGAATAATACTATAAGTAAGAAAGTATGCTATAATTCTCTACTTTCTTATCGTACAGTTTATCAGCATCGTCATCAACCTGTTGGACGCATTAAAGACATCCTTCTCGCATCGTTCTTTATCCGCTCGTTCTCTTGGTAGACATGACAGCGTTTCCGAAGCCGCCATGGCATCTATTAGTATGCTAAAGGTAAATCCTATTTGACGTTCGATTTTCTATTATTTTTAATATATTACTTCGATTGTATTTTTATTTCTTAAACTTTAACAAGTGTAGGGACTTGTATTCATGAAAAGTCTAATAATCAAATATTTTTTAAATTGATAGAGATTATTAAAAAATTATAGTATTTACTTTTTAATTATTTATAAAAATAATTATCGCTCCTGTATTAAGGCAATACTTTATGCTCCGTCAATAATTATGCTTACTTTTTTAATCGTTACAATAAGCAATTTTTTCTTGTTAGTATTTAAAACATTTTTCTCCCACGATAAATGATATTTTCAAGTATAATTATTGATATTGCATAGAGTCTTGCCCATTTACAGATGTAATACTTGTATAAATAATTTTAAAAAATCAATTGAAAAACACGAATAATTATTTAAAGAATAAAAATCTATTAACGAATACGAATAATTATATGATAGTAATTATACGATAATTATGTATAAAGAAAAATATTTCAAAGTAATAATCTTCTTTATTTTATTTATCATGTTTTTGTTTCTTGTATCAATTTTTAAATTAACAAATGATTCTTTATCAGGGGTACGTAAGATCAGTAAAAGCTTTCAGCAATATCGGTAGAGCAGAAGACGAAGGTCAACAAGGTTGTGCCGAAAGAGCCCTTTGCGAAGCCAGTGCTGAATGTGCCGCCGATGCTCAAGGCACATCGACGATTTTCTGTCAGCTAGGATCGTACGTACTTTCATTTAAATCTATATTCTTTCCAATGGACTTTTAATGATATTAAAATGTAATTTTATTTTTCTTTTTATTAGATATGCAACAAGTTACATGTTGCAAAGGCAGAGTGGTGTAGGATTCGAAGCACTTTATGACGCAGGACGACGTGGTCGTATGGGAGAAGACTGCAGGACCCTTTTCATGGATTGTAACGTCGCATGAGTGGGAAATTTCGCATTAAACGCAATTTAAACGTTCGCGGGGATCGTTTGAAATTTTTCTGGGTTAAAAATTCGCGAAATTAAGTCGAAGAAACGCATGAAACTGATCGACCTAAATCGAGAAATAGATTTATTTAGCGATTATCATTAAAAAAAAAAAAAAAAATTCCTTAGGTAAGGTCGAAGAAAATGCTTCAACAAAAAAAAAAAAAAAGAAAGAGGAAAACAAATTTTCCTATTTAAAACTTACGTTTGTTTACTTAATTATGTAATTAATTAGTGAAAAACAAACTTGGAATTCACTTCGACACGGCTCTCGCGAAAATTTTCATTGTCGTTAAAATTGTACGCACAGAAACGAAGACTCGAATCATCGCGAAAGATGAAATCTCTCGAAACGTGAAACGACGATTTTCTCTTTCGTGAGTCTCTCGTTGATATCGTCGACGTTTTACAAGAGCTTTCAGAACAAAAATCGTCGAGCGTCTTAGCTTTTTCTAGAAGTAGACTGAATAAGACTCGGGGCTCGACCGAACACGAATGTTTGTGTTTGCTCGAGCCAACGATCATTATTATAATTATACTTATTTATATTTATTTAAACTTAGGATAGAACGATTGTTTCAAGTTGATTCATATGCTCCGAATACGTTTTAACGAAAGCGTTTGTTTGTATTAATCGCGATAATACATTTGTGTTGTTGGTTTGTTTTTTCATCGAAATTGAAGCATCATCGTGGATTATCTATTGAAAAGATTATTTCTTTCGTAATTATTGTCTTCCCGTGTATTTTTCGTTTTTAAAAGTTAATGCCAAAACTGTGAGAATAATTAGAAGACAACGATCAAATAAAAAATATCATTTTTCAAAATCTTTCAATGACATCCATTGTTTTTTATTTTTCTAATAAATTCATTAAAATTTATCATATTGATTGACTTCAATGAAAATAAAGCTAAATATTTTTATCGTTGGGATGACTATCGAAATTATCGCGAATAAGTTCGATTGTTAGATATCTCATATTTTTGAGGTAAATAAAAAAGAGAATTTCATTTTCATTATTATGCGATAGATATACAAAACTAGAGGCGGAAAACATTAATTACGATCCTTGTCTAACAACCGATCAAAACAAATTATTGTATATAGACATTTTAATATATATATATATATATATATATATATATATATATATATATATATATATATATAAATATGAAGTTTCTTTTAGTAATATCCAATTCATCTAGCTCCCTTAAGCTTAAGATGTGTATATGTGAAACATAATTATATACATATAATGAATACATTAAATAAATGGCCTTATTGAACTTGTCGCATTAAAAAGACAAATATTTATTATGAAATTATTTTTAAGATGAATAATCATAAATATAGCAAAAAAAAAATGAATAATAATTTCAACGCAGCTGTATTTTTGAAAATAACTTCATTATCAGCTTTTACAATCGGATGTGACCTAGAAAATAACAGACAAAGATAAAACAAACAAAATTAAAGGTAACAACGAGGAACACACTTTTGTTGCTCAAGGTCCGGAAAACATTTACGGCTGAGAAATTATCGAGGAAGTACTTAGGCTCAAAGAATGCATAAACCGTGAAAAAAAGAAAAAAGAAAAAGTCGAATGACGAATTTATAGGTGATTCACAGAACAGTCGTTCTGTGAATCTCGCTTAAGAAAGTTCTTAGTTTCGTCAACGGCATGTGAATCTTTTCTACGTTTGCGTCAGAGTACTTTTCAAATTTTGCGAAGGTAAGCAGCATTTGTCTCTCTAAACGCATATACGTATTCGTCGCACTGTGTTTATGACATTCAGTAAATTTCACGACACTTTCTAATTACGCAAGCATTTCATTTAATGCTGAAAAAGGGAAGTTACGTGATTTCATTAATAAATATATTCAAGAAGATATATTGATTAAAACTAAAACTATTTGCAAATTATTCCGATATATTAAACTACATATACATATTGCAGAGAAGCAATCAAAAAGAGAGAAAAAAACAAGAAATATATAAAATTAATCATATATATAAAATATAAGAAAAAATGCCATAATGCCTTGAGAATTTTTAATAAAAACATAATTTTAAATCAATTATACAAACTAATTTCTAAATCTGATATTAAAATTATTTAAAAAAGAAATTATTTCTTTTCATAGGGGAAAAAAATAATGAGTGATATTAATCAAAAAATTTTTAATACAAGAAATATATATATGACATATTAAAATTTATCTGTTGGATTTATTTAAATGAGAGAATGAATGAACGAGAAAAAGAAAGAAAAAGAGAGAAAAGAAAAGAGAACTCATATACGTTTTCATAAAATACGTTCGCCAACCTGCTGTCTGCTAAGTAGAAAAGATTGTAGCTCCGTGTCGACCGCATTCCAAGAGCGTAGAGTCAAAGAACCATGTATCTATTCCTCGTTTAAAGCATTAACGTGAATGAACATTTTTTTATATAAAACATGTACAAGTTACGAATACGTATGAAACGAATAAATAAAAAAAAAATAAATCAAATGGTCCATTTAAAAATTATATTTCATATACTATCAAGTTTTAGATTTAAAGAAAAAAAAAAAAGAAATATGTATATATAAAGCTTTTTTAATAAACGCACCAAATACATCCACGTAAAAATTTAATATTATATCTTAAGATAGATGAAAACTCTATACATTATCGATAATTATGATTGTAAGTGCCGTGTTAAAGTGATATAATAAAACTGAAACACTTTCTTATGCTCGTATATAATGACTATTCTTTTTAACATGCTTGTAAGAATTCTTCGTCTATCATAAGAGTTAAACAAATTATCCTATTGATAAATAGCATTTGCTAACGCAGTTATTAATAATATATAAAAAGTTATTTACTTAGAGATATTAATATTATTAATTAATAAATAATTTTTTTTTCAATATTTCAATTTATTCCAGAGATATTTACCGATTATATTCTTTCTGAATTTATATAAAATAAAATGAATGACGTTTGATAATTTGATTGATAGGAATCATAAAATTCTATAATAACATGTTTATTTCTTTTTTTCCAGATTAAGATGACGTTCAAAGCATTGATGAATTTTGGTTCCTTTGAAAAAACTCCGTACACGCCCGTCGATCGTTATCATAGCGGATGGGGTTCTTATCACCATAGCTCAAACGGGTAATTATCGGAAATTTCAAAAGAATCTGTTTACAAAGTTATCGTAATTAAAATTAAAAGTACTTCATTGTTTACATTTCAGTGGTTATAAAGGACATAAAGGTGGTGGCAATGGAGCTGCTTTGAGTGCTTTAACTTTACTTGCCTTTCTCTTCCTTATAAACGTTATGCAAGTGAGTAATAAAAAAAATATAAAAAAAAAAAAGAGAGAGAGTAAAAAATCTTCTTAACATCGCTCATAATTTTAGCAATCTCTTCAAGACAATAATTCTACTGTAACAACAACCACAACAACATTGTTTTTACGCGACGATGAACAACCAATTGTATTGGACGCGAGAGAAAAGGAAGATGTTAATAAGAAGAAGGATTCGAACGGTTCACCTCCAAGATCTCATGATATAAGTTACGTCAGATTATAATCCTTCGAAAGTATTTTTGCAGGATTAAAAAGGACATTGTTTCAAGGCAATAATGTTGTATAGATAAAATTTTACTGTTGTGCATCATGTAACAGAATATGTGCTTAAATATTTTCTTCCGTTTTTATTTATTTCATCTTTTTCTTTTCTTTCTATCAGCGACCTTTTCCTCTTTTACAGTTAGATTCGCAAACTTGCGCAAAATATTTATCGTAATTTCTATAACGATGGGAATAACGATGGAATCTTAGGAAATTATTCTATTTATAATTGTAGAGAGACTTTTAGTGTCGATTACTCTTGATTCGACATAATCTTCGAGAGTTTAATAGTAATAGTAATAATAGTAGTAATAATAGTAGTTGAAATGATTTAACCATACGTCAAAACACATAAATATTTTATTTTTGTTTTCTTTTCTTTTTTCTTATTCGAACATGAGCATTCGTCGAATATGTCTTGTAATGTAATTAGCGTTTCGAAAATGTACTTCCGTCTTATGTACATAATATTAGAAACATTGAGATATTCTTTTACCTCTTGATAATCTAGTGCCTTAAAAATAAACATGAACGTATTCGCGTATTGCTAAAGGATCGTTACTGACAGGTCCGAGGAACTGTATAACATCATATCATCGAGAAATCACGTTTTTTGTTCCCTACTTTCGATTACACCGATAAGAAAAAGGATGGAAACGAATTTTCCTCGAATGTGCGCCCATAAACTCGCTCGGGCACTTGTCACGATCCCGAAAAATCTTTTATTTTTTTTTTTTTTTGTTTTTTTCTTTACTTTTTTTTTTCTTTATTTAAAAATTACCATGAGCCTAGTAGGTCTTCTTGAGCCTTTCGAAATATGGCAGAGTATCACGCGTTTTTATTTATTTTAATTTTTTAAATCGATCGACGACATATGTACGTAAGTACGTATGTATATATGTAGTACGTATAAACGAATAATTTCGTTGAGTAAAATGATTGTATTCATGTTTATACGTGTATGTTTATGAAATATGAAACGAGCCGAAGAAGCATAAATTTGAATATTTTGCGTCGTACTTCATTTCGCCCGTCGATGAGATCGTTTTCGTTTATTTAATAAACATACTTTCGTTAATGTCGTTGGAATGGAGATACGAGAAGAATATATTTTAAATAGAGAATACACAACCAACGAAACAAATTTAAGTTTAACATTTAACAAATTGCCTCCTGACTATTTCTAAGAAATATGCTTGGGAATACTTTACACATGGAAGGGACGAAGTATGATAAGTAGAAAAAACATATTGCCGTATAAACCATCGGTATTTTCGTTCGAATATCATTCGAAAAACTATAATTACATAACTATAAATATGTTTAGTTTCATATACGTACATACATACACATATGTATGTGTACGTAGAAAGACCTATATAGAAAAACGACGTTTAATCATGCTTGTATATACGATATTCAGATATCCGTCGGTCCTCTATATTTTTTTTTTCTCTTGTATATACCAAATAATCTTGTATACAAGAGTCGATTCGAAGCATTATTTTTAAGTTCACTCGACGTTCGAAATTCACATTACAAAAAAAAAAAGAATAAACGTCGAGATCGTCCGAATACTTTCAAAATAACTATATCATGTTTGCGAGATTAATCTTCAGGAGAATATTGTGATCGTTTAGTTTCTCCGAAGTTAAATTGAAGGAAGAGGAGAGTGAAAGAAAAATGGAGATAGAAGAGAAAAATTTTGAACACACGCGCGGGTAGACTCGAAGAGCTCAAGGTCACCTCAGCTTTCTTACAAGTATTTTTTTTAATATAGATACTCTGAAAATCGTCTTCGTTATAAAACGAACGTTAGTAACCAAGAGAAAAATAGCTATATATACGTATATGTGTATATATACATACATATATACACATTTACATATATATATATGTATATATATGTATATATATGTATATATGTATGTGTATATATATATGTATATATATATATATATATATATATTGTATGATACACTAAATTACTGTCGTAAAGAATCGATGGCGTCGCCCTTCGATGATGCTTTCATTTCCATAAATGACCGGTTGTGAACGATTGCGAATATCTTCCTAGTTTTTACTATTCTCTTTCTTCTTCTTATTTTTTTTTTTTTTGGTCTTTTTGCAATGTACAGATTTGAAAGGAGAAAAGAACATTTACAACGATCGCTTAATATGTATGTATGTATGTATGTATGTATGTATGTATTTATATTATTTACGTATGCATATACGTTCGAAAATGTACGATTTAGTTTTATGAATCGCTTCCTCGTCGCCATGATCATTACATCCGTGGAGACGGGAAGAGGAAGAGAAGCATAAGTAGAAATAACGACTCTGCAAGAACTCGTTTCAATTCCGGTACGCAGTTACGGCAATTCGAAGAGAATCTTCCCTTGTACGCAGAGCGAGTAATTATCACACCAGTTTTTTCTCCAGCGTAAAGATCAGTATCTATTAAGTGATACTCTAAGAATAAAACGAATAAAAGTTTGAAAACGATGGAAAATTTTCTATTCTGTTTTTCTTTTCTTTTTCTTTTTCTGCATGTCATTTCGAATTGGGTAAAATGCTATTATACTTGTTACGTTAATTCTACTTCATTTAAATTTTTAATAGCATCTTACTCAATCTAATGAAAAAGTATGAAAAACATCGTAAATTTGAATATAAAAGAAAAAAAGAAATATATATAGTACGATAAATAAGTATGCATCTTTTTCTTTTCCTTTTTTTTTTCTTTTTTTTTTTCAACAATTACTCGTTCGGTACATCACGAAAGGAAATAGTTTTTGCTGCTTGCGTTTATGTTTATTTCTCTTTGCTGCTGTTGTACGTCGTAAAAGTCAGCGAGTCAGTATTCCACTTTGAACACAATAAGAGTTACGAGCAATATGACACATGCTCGATACTTCAAATGACGTAAACATTAGAAATGTAAGATTCTCAGCGAAAACGATGATGATCGTTTATGATTACGTCATCTATTTTCGTTAAGAACGTAAGACTCGCTTCGAATCATTCTCGAGAAACTATGTTCTCCGTGCATGCAACAAAAGAAGCTCTAATCTCGAAATCTTTCTGACTTGGTTTCATTCGATAAAAAAATCAAACCTATTCAAAGTGCTATATCAAAAGAAATCAAATGACAAAGTAATTTTTGAAAAAATCATTTTTAAATTAGAATTAATCCGAATATAAATTTTCTTTTTTATTGAAAGAAATCAAGTCAGACAATACGATCGTTAACGCAACTTGTTTACATTTTTTTCGCTAATCCTCGTGCGTCTAAATTGTCTCGTTTTTTATTTTTTTATACATATATATTTTTTTTTTATTTTTTTTGTATTTCTGCAGGCAGCATCGTGGACGTCGAAGTCGAGAGTCTCGCCGTCCCTTCTTCGTACGCCATTTGATACGATTCTTAAGAGGTAGATGAATACGTAATTCCATTTGCCATTGCGATATGCTTCGCCTTTCTCTATTTTTTTCCCTAATCCTCATTCTAATAACGAAACTCTCCATTTTGCAAAGAGTCAAGCATTAGCATGATATTCGCTAACAAATTAGTACATATGTATCTATTTACAACGGAAAATAAAAATAATCGCAAACATAAGTAAATACTTGCTTCTCACTGTTGTAAAAGCCGAAGAAATTGGAGAACTCAAAGTTACCCATGTATTAAATAATTCAACATTTTATGTAAGTCGGTTTACTCACCAAATATTTCTGCATTTGCTCGTTAAATGCACAAGCATCAAAGATACGGGAGGAAATGAAGTTACATTCAAGACGCCACTTTCTTCGATTAAATGAGTAAACAAATGATGAGGAGAATGCTAGCTACGCGATCATATTCGTTCATATTTCGAGTGCCTAATTTTTCAACGACCGTAACGAAACCTCCCCTCTTCGCGATCAGTGTATACAACAGTCGATAAAATAATTTCTTCGAAAGATGGAAGGATTCGTGACGTCGAGGCTCTCGCATATTGCCAACGATCAACTCCCCGAGCACCGATAAGAATTTCGACGATAAGATGGAGATAGTGAGATTTTAAATGAAAAGCGACGTCCATCGGAGCGCAAATTTTGTTTATACTTTTGTTGGTCGATTTATTTCGATAAGGACAAATCATTGCTCGACGTCTGCATACCGGCTAATGACCGCTTGTAAATGATAAAGAGATCAAAATCCGAGAGAGAAAGAAAGAGAGAGATAGAGTGAGAGAGAGAGTGAGAGATAGAGTGAGAGAAAGTGAAAGAGAGAGAGAGAGAGATCCTATTATTTTGAATTTTTTTGACCTTTTCTCATTTTTCTGTTTTTTTCTTTTTTCTTTAAACATCTTCAAGTTTCTTTCAAAGCACGATTGCGGACTTACGAACGTTACAAAACGCAGAAACGAAGGTATATATACGTTGTACGTATTTATACTTGTAAACGTCGGAACAAACACGATGATCAATAATCGCTAATAAATCTTGCAAACGAACTCTTCGACCTTCGAAAAACACGTACAAATATAAAGAAATTTAATCGCGGCAAATGCAAATGCATGAGACGAAAGTTTAGATTATGAAATAGAAAGAAAGAGAAAAAGAGAGAGAAAGAGAGAGATCCGAAAATCGATAACAATATCCCTTCGATCTTTTACAACGAGAGCGTTCTGTTCCGTTCGTTTCAGTCCAAATTTTGGTTTATTATTCTTACCTAAAATCTTTCTATATTATTATTTAGCTGGCAGCGAGGCATCGCTTACTTTACCTACGTGCGTCATTGTGCTAGTTTTTTTTTTTGTTCCTTTACATAACAATTCGAAGGAGACTCTCGGATGATCATGATCATAAGATCGATTATCGAATACCAATTCCGATAAAATATATCAGGATAGATATTGAAATTAATCGAAATGTTCGATATGATCGATTTTTCGATCGGAGCACACTTTTGATGTATCTTCGATCCTCGTATGATGTTCTCAATGATCTCTGCAGCGATCAACGATCGAACGAATTCCGAAAGATTCTAATAAGATTAGATACGTTTCTTTGTCGCTTCCGTACTATTATTGATGCGAATTCTCATCAGTCTCTTCCTGAGAAACGATACTCGATCGATTCGATCTCACGTCGAGATCCATGCCGAAAGGTTTCCCCGAGCCAAGGATCTGCTGACCAATGACAGCTTGGCCGGTAATCTGGTTGTCCTCGATGCTCAAGCTACATTCCAAGGAGCTGTCACTGAAAGTACAGAAACAGACTTCTACTCAACACTAGCGCCTTTCAAGATTATTCGACGAAAATGTGTATTATATTCGATCCATGATCGTACCCAGGTGCGTTTACCTGACGATGCTGGCACGATCGACAGAGCTCGTGGTTGGCAGGATGCAATTCTCACCATTGCATGCCCGTTCTCCGTTGCTACTACATGAAGAAGTCCTCGTTGCCGTTGCCTCTCGGATCGAAGCTCTTCTCGACTCCTCGTGACACTCACATCTACATTCTTCAGGTTGAACGTAGCTGTAACCGGTGGTCTTAACTTCGTCCTCGGTACGTGGAATCGTTTGAATTATTTTCGGTGCCTTTCTCTTCTCCGGGATCTCCTCAAAATTTATCCAATTGTTGGGTCTAGTTGGTGCTCTCGGTGGTAAAGGTGGTGGACTGGGAGATTTTCCAGCACCTCTATTACGACCACCATCCGTTACTTTACCCGCAAACTCGGTGAAAGTATTAGCAGCGTGTCTCTTTGGACTCTTCAATTTAAAACTATCCTCGCGTGGTAAAGATATCTTCATTCTTTCAACACGTCTTTCGTCTAGGGATGTCTGCATCACAAATTCATCCAATAGAGTTGGATTTATGGGCGTCGTTGAACGTGGCCTTTCGATTGGAATCGTTCTGAAATCGAAAATAATCGTAAAATTTCTACAAAATACATCTTATTTATATATATATATATATATCTGTGTTTAAAGGCACTTAGGGGAAAAGAAAGAGAGAAAGAGATAGAGAGATAGATAGATAGATAGATAGATAAATAGATAGAGAAAGAGAGAGAGAGAACGAGTAATTTTAGTCTCGTACCTAACTTCTTGAAGTCGTTGTTTCACAGGTAGAATCGGTACAGCTACGCTCTTTTCTAAAGGCAAAGTAGTCGGAATATATGGAAGATCTTCTTCGAAGCTTTCCTCGTTGAAAAGACCCTTTCGTTCATCGGGTAACTCCTCAGTAATTTTCTCAGCCTTATTTCGAATGAACTCTATCTCGGAATCTCTCTCAGACTCAGAACTGTTATGATCAAGATCTGATATTATGCTAGATGTTTTTACTAGATCAGTTTCCGCCGCTTTAACCGATAATCCATCATCTAGAAAATCTGATTTCTTATATTCGTTGGTAGTCTTCGTACCAGGGACATCACTTTCTGCTATCTTTTTTTGCTGTGGAACAATTTCCTCTTTTTTTTCGCGTGGTAATATTTGCTGTTCTTCCTTACTTTTCTTCTTGATCTTCGGAGCATCAGGAATTTTCTTCGCGATCGAATCTCTGGAAGAGCTACTGGACATTCGTAATGATCCAGAAGTCGGCCTGACTTCGCTCGACGGTGACGAGGATTTTGTTACTGTGTTTTCTACGCTCTTCATACTCTGTGTACCTATTTTAGAATCTCTCGAACCACTTGTCGATACTTGAGAATCTTTCGACGGGCTAAGTGACATTTGATTCTCCCAAGAAGATCTCTTTGATGGTGTACTCTCTATCCTCGCTTCTGTTCTCACCTCAGCGACTGGAGGATGATGATATTCTATAGAAACTTCCGTCATCATTATGCCACCAGCATGAGATTCGGATTCATATTCGTCCAATAATTTAGTTGGTGTTTCTAACGGTATCGAAACACTTTCAGATGGTAAAGCTTCCTCGTAATTCCTGTCGTCCGCGTGAAGGCTGATGAAGATCGAATCATCCTTACGTCTTTCCTTTTCCGTGTTAAAAGTAAATTCGACCTGGCCGATACTCTCCAATGACGGTTGATCAACGGTATCGATGTCGCACTCGATTCCACAGAAAGTAGCTATCGCCTCGTCGTAACTCTTCTTCCTCTCGCGTTTCTTAAAGAGACTCAAGGTCGAGGAGAAAACATTCTTGTTCTTTGAATCCTTCTTCAAACTAGAATTCTTATCAACGGAGACTCTCTCGCGTGATTTTGATCTGCTCCTCAGGCTCTCCGTGGTGTCCTTTATCTTCGACGTTAAACTCCTTCGTGGCTTCGTACTGGGCGATGGTGATCCTGGGCTCAGTACGCTGCCATCAGTCCTGGTCTTGAGGAACAGAGTATACTTTCCTTTAGGATCACTCCTTGACTAAAAGCGTTTCGCTTACCAGGCATAGGTAGACTACAATAGCTCGATAGTGACAAAGCGAAAGGTACTAAAAGCGTTAACTGTCTTTCTCTCTGTACGTGTGTGCGTGTGTGTGTGTTCTTTTTTGTTTTTTTTTTTGTTTTTGAAAGCTTTTGAAACATATCACTTTACCTTGAATAAAGAGGCAAAACTGCTTTTTCTTGATACGGAAGATGGACTAGGTGTCCGCGATCCCTCGGTACCGAGATCAAACACCTTTTGATGTCTCGGTAATTTAGGACTACTGATTAAACTACTCGCCGTTGGTGTCGTTTGGACGATCTCTTTAAAATTCTGAGCTTTTTTTCGTTTGTCGTTAAAATCGAGGGTCGCGGGCTTTTGAACTTCTTGAGACTGGGTTTTCGCTGGCTGTTGTTGCGTTGATTCAGATGTTTTACGAATAATTGGTACCTAAAAAAATCACACAATAGGTTTTCCAAAAAATACTCTATCAATTATAAATAATAATTTAAATTAAACTTAAGCGTACCTCTATGTTAACCTTTTCTAAGAATCTCTTAGTAATTTCCACTTCTCTCTTAAAAATCTCTTTTCTTTCTTCACGGCCACGTCTTCTTGGCTTATCCAAAGGATCTGGTTTCAAATTACCACCAACCATAGAAACTTTAATACTTTCTGGAATTAACGCTTTAGTGGTGTCGGCTTCGCGTTTCAACAGAATCTTTTCCAAGTCTTCGGTTTCCGGCTTCGATGGTTCGATCAAGTTATCAGCTAAAGTCGGCTTGCTGCCACAAAAGGACGTTTCTAATAGACATTTGTGCGGACTCGGTGACCTAGAATGATTAAGAAAAAGAAAATCTTTTTACCTTATTGATGACTATTGACAGATAGATCATTATTTTTTTAATTATAAGAAAATAATGGAAACGATTTTCTCGTCGATATTATTTAGAATATAAATACTGATCGTAAATAAAATAAATTGAAAACTAACGAATCTATACCTCGAGGAAGTACCCGACACCACTGAGAGCTTTCCAGAAACACCAGAACCCTGACTTCCCACGGAAGACAACCTCGAGGTTCTACCACTGATGTTAAGGAGGATGATTTCAGAGCAATTACTATCCTTTCGTTCTCTGTCTTGTGTTTGCCTTGTTCCACCACTATAATCCGATTGCGATCCATCTTCTCTTCGTTTTCTCGCTTTCTTCGATTCCCTCCTGAGATCTTGCTCGTGTATGGGATCCTGTAAGTCCAATTCCTCCGTTGACGATCTTAAATCCTGAGCATCTTCCTTATAACCTAAGGTCAGCTTACTCCCTGGAGGAGGATCTCCACCTGAAACAAAGTAAAGTTCTTATAAATTCATTATATCTTTAATAAATAAAATTCATTATTCTTGTATTACTCAATTTGTAATTATAATTCCATTAATCAGAGACATGGATCATTACTGATAATGTTTTAGAAAAGTAATATTATATAAAGGAAACTTTTTCTCTGAGAAAACAGAGAAGACAAAGAAAAACAGATATATACATATATATATATATATATATATATATATATATATATATATATATATAGAGAGAGAGAGAGAGAGAGAGAGAGAGAGAGAGAGAGAGAGAGAATGCTTACTTCAAATCCAATGAAAAAAAGATTTATTTTCTGTAAGAAAGAAAGATAAAGTAAGTATACCTGCGAGAAGCTCTCTTTCGGGTGATGATTCCCTGGAGTTACTATCCTCATGGTGAGAGGAACTGCTCGCCCGGCTGATATCAATTCTTGGTGTGCTGGGTGTCTTTAGCGAACTACCAGGCGTTGCCGGGGTGGCGACCTCGATGATGCCTGGCATTCGTGTCGTTGGTTCCCCCTGCATTCAAATTCGTAGACTGGTTTGTCGTTGGATCACAGTCTTGGAATTGAAGGTGTAGAACTTCGGGGTTCAGGCGCCTCCAAAGTTTAAGAGGAAGACGTGCGACACTCGGAGAGGGAACACACGTGCTCGATTCTCGTGAGCCGAGTGGGTCTCGGAGAGTCGATAAGAAGTAGGACTCAGGGAGGACTCATGGGGGACTCACGTTTTCCACCTCGTCCGATAGGTCTTCGAAGGACGCTATTGGTGCTGGTCCAAGCTTCCTCTGACGAGCGCTCGGCAATCCTGATGCCATATTCGATAGCTCGGACCTCGGAGATACTGGAAAGCCGATGAACAAAAAAGACGATTATAATTCTTCTTTATTATCAATTAAAAAGATTTCGACGATATCTACGTATATTAAGGTAACTATGTTCACTTAAAGGATGTATTGTTTTTAACATGTTCTGAATACATTGCTTAATTCTTCTAACATTACATATTACTTGCTCTCCGTTTCTCGATCGATGTAGATATATGAAAGGTCTATGAGTATATTACTACATACTTGTATTAACTAAAATCGATAGAGAAGCGATCGTTAAGGGTTCAAGCAAACATTCAAAAAAATAATCGTACATATATTGCGTTCTACTAATGATCTTCCATGATGGAAAATCGATGAACATGACTATGTGGGTGTACTATATAATATGCTAGGTATAATTACAAGTTACTATCGTACTACTTCATACTCTATGCTAACAACCGCTCGAACTATAAAAACGTGCTACGTTGTCATAACTTTCACCCCAATAATGCGAGTAATTTTCAACATTGCTTTAAATCTCAAAACTCATTATAACTTCGAAATATATGAAATTACTGCTTTTTTCCTTTTTAGGATCTGCGGAGGCCATGTATAAAGACCATCTCTCAGCGATCGTGAACGTGACTTAAAGTTTAAAGCTTGCCGTCGCATCGCATAATCTAACTTTGTCATTGAAGATGGGCGGAGCTTCAACAGGCCAACAAAGCTTACCTTTTCATAAATAACGTTCACTAATTGATTCTCCGAACTTTCATTTTCCAATAGCAACTATGAAAAAGATTTAATATAGTCGATAGATAGTTGTTGATTCCGATCTCAAAACAAAACAAAAATTTCTAAACAGGTTATCAGGACAGTTCTAAGTGTAAAATTCTTGTACGTATTGTATGATAGATCGAAAGTAACATGAAACAACCGTGTCGAGTGCCCATTAACGACGTATAATGAATGCAAGCGTAGGAGTAAAAGGGCGCGTAAATGCATTGAATAAGAAGGGAGTAAAATGATGAAGCGAATGAAGACACTTCGGACAAAAGCTGCTTGAAGAATGGCATTAAGATTGTTCGAGAAAAATTATATTTATCTCTCCTAATTTTTCTATTTCAAACGATGCTAAAATCGAAAATTTTTGTTCTTTACGTTCTTTAAAATATTTTGAACGTGTATTTCAAACGAAACTTTTCTAAGAAATCGAACGAAATGATATTTCACTTTGTGAAAAGTACTATCGTTATATCAAATATATTCTAATCGTCGCGACCGGAAATTAAGTCATTTTCAAAGTTTAACGGATTTTCATTTCGTTAAATATTAATCGCGTTATATCACCAATAAAACGTAATTCGAGCGAAGGAAAGATCGCACCTACATACGTATTTTTAATAATCGTGAACGTTAGCACGTACTACATTCACGTGTACGTGAACAGACTGAATATTATACTCAATAGATCTGCACTAGCATTGCATTTGACATAACAGACGTTGAGATATCCGGTAACCTTGATTACGCACTTCAAATCAACGTAAATCTACATGAAAATTCAATGCTCCTTGTCGATTAATCTTTTCAATGTATTCACATTGAGAATTCGATTACTTGATTTTTTGATCTGGAACTTGATTTTTTCTTTTTATTTTTTGTTCAGATTTCCATCGACCTACTTCAAATGAAATTATATCAAATGGACATACTAACATTTGATTATTCATGCAGATGATGCTAATTAATCGATTATCCAGCTTAACCGATTAATTACTCGAAAAATTAAAATTCATAGAATATTAACTCGCTTATCGCGAATTTGTCACGCCTAGATTTCGATTGAAAATAAAAACAAATATTTCATACTTTTCCTCGAGGATTTTTCCGATAAATTACTTATATTTTTAAGAGACATAAAATCGTACGCTTGTAATGTGAATCTTATTCTCCTTGTACTTAAACACTGAAATGAGATATTGCTCATGAAATCATAAGCCGAGCTTCGTTTTATTTTTCCTTTTAATATGATCAGAGAACGGATGAACTATTTTCTAGAAGGTCGACCCATATCGAGCAATATTCTCATCCGTTTTCGTTCCCTCGATACCAGGAGAAAGAAGAAACTTTGGGGAAGAATAAAAGACGAACCGAGAATAATGTAAGACTAATAAATTAAAGGAGTGATTGTTCGTTTAAAAATATTAAAAAAAAAAAGAAAAAAATAGAAAAAAAATACATTCGCATCAAAAAGAAAACTATTTCAAGTTAAGATTCTTTTTTTCCAAGAAAGAATACGTTCTTTTTTCGTTCTTTTATACATTTTTTCTTTTTCTTAATTTTATTTTTTCCATTCGATCATTGTTCACGAAACACAGAGGAGATAGACAACATGTTCGTGCTAAAGACAGCGATGTCCCTTTATTTCTCGCTTTTTTAATTTTATTAGGACAACGGAGAAGCTGTAGTACACATACGTCCATACATACAATAGCATGCAATAGAGAAGAAAAAGGTCGTGCCGAAGTACAAAAGCGCTGTTGTTGCGCTAACGGTGGTTAGTCCCATGAACAAACCAGGTAAATCGTATCTGTCAGATAAATAGGTCGTCAAGCATGACTGCATCCTGGGAAAACGTACCATTGCGCGAACACACTTCTCTCTGAGAACGACCTATTACGGAAAAAGATCTATCGTGTTAACGAAGCTTATCTCTTCTTTAACAAGCTAATTCCAACCCCGTATAGTCGACTCGTTCTTTGCTAAATGCACGAACCGCCATCTTGATCAATTAATAGACGAGACAACTTTTTGTTTAAAACAATTCCTTCCATTTTGCTTTTTTATTTAAATCATTATATTTTTTTCATTAAATATACGTGTGTGTGTGTGTGTGTGTGTGTGTGTGTGTATGTATGTATGTATGTATTTATGTACGTGCACGCGCGTGATAAATGAATAAAATCTATGATTGAAGTTTTCAAGTACGATATTATTGAAATCAGATATACATAAGTAGATATATGTTTATTCGAGACACTTAGTTTTATAATATTATCTCTATTACTTTTAAATGATATTAAAAATATATAAAATCTCGGATAAAATCTGTACCAAATAAAATTTTACGTATAATTCGATATAATTTTATTCAAGAAATTCATGAGAAATACATTCATTATTTCGATATATAACTGTTACGATCTTTCAATAAGTAATAGAGCTAAGGGATCTAACTTTAACATTATGCTCAACGATCGCAACAAATAAATCGTCCCCTTTAAATTATTTCAATCCCAATAAAATTCCCTTTCGCGATCGGTGAATAACTAAAATGTCACACGACGAAATAGCTCTCCTTCCTGTGGATATTCAAACAAGAATTTCCTGTTCCAGGATGACTCCTGGTTGCGTTATTGCTTAGAAGCAATTATCGTACTAAGGAAGACAGCTCGAAAGCGTCGTTCTACTGAAATCCATTTGTTAAAAAGAGAAAAAGTAATGATAAAAAAAATATATCTATTTAAGTACTTATTGCGTTCGTTTCGAATTTAAATTGTATGAGACTCGCAAAATAGGACAACGAAGAAACAAAGACGAATAGAAAAATGAAAGATATATTAGGTAACAATTAGATCGTCCGTTAAAATTGTATTAACGGACATTTTAACATCGAGAAGAATGATTACATTATCGACTTAATACTTAGCATAAGTGAACGAAGTTTTTTTTTTTCTTTTACTTTCTTTTCTATCCTTCTTTTCTCTCCATCGTATATAAACGTATTAACTCCTATACTATGTCGCAGAAATATCAACATACAAATAAATCGATATTTACCATCACTATCGGACATTTTTGAAGGGGCAAAAATGAAATCGAAATATTTTCCATGAAAGAAAAAAAAATGCTGAAGAAAATATTGAATGTATCAATACATACATGAGAGAAAACGACATGTTTCATAATAATCGGCACTTTTAGCTATTCTTGCTGAATCATGATGTAATCAAATTCAAGGGTGTTTATTATTTATATTTATTCTGCTATCCTACATTATTTCCACTTTATATAGATCAAATTAAAAAGGAAAAACAATGATGATGATAACGATAATAATAATAATAATTCCAATAATAATAATAAAAAACAATGATGATGATAATGAGAATAATAATAATAATAATAATAATAATAATAATAATAATAATAATAATAATAATAATAATAATAATAATAATAATAATAATAATTCCTAGAAATAGCGTAAAACAAAGTGTCACGTCTCTCTCTCTCTTTCTCTCTTCCTTTCTCTCTCTCTCTCTCCCTCTTTCTGTCTTTCTCTCCTAGTAATTTATTTTTACCGAAATATGAGAGTTCGAATGGATCGATATCAATAGAATTTTAATTATATTCGGTGTGAGCTGCTTTAAAATCACGGCATCATCGAGATAAGCTCGAACCGACGTTTAAAAATATACCAAAGAAACGCGAAAGAAAGTGAATGATCTAAAAACGAGGATAAAGGTGCGCGTTTGCAATAATTCCCGCCAGAAATCGCATCTACATAAGTTCTATCGCGAGAGAGATTGACCTACATTTTACAAGAAAGATGCTGGGCGCAATTTAAAGGAAACTACATTTTCTTTTTAAATAGACAAATTCTCAATTATTGTTAACATTGGTTTTGAATTACGACAAGGGTAAAATGGAAAAAAAAAAGAAAAAAAGGAAGAAAAATTAATTATCAAGGTCGAAGCTTTTGAAAGATATGAACATTACAAGAGGTCATAGGTAGAGACTATAAAGGGATAAGTGGGTGGTGGGTTGAGAATGAATGCAGGACATTCGACATTAAAATTGGCTTGTTTCGTGCTCTCAACCGCTATGTTACGTTGAAACGTCAAATATTTGGACAGTAACGGTAGCAAGAACAGCAACAATAACAATGAAAATAATGAGGAGATAGTTTACGTACATGAAACAGAAGTGAAGTTTTTCCGACAAAAAAAAACCCCTATTGAAACAAAAGATATAGAAGAACCAAGAAAGATGGAATTAACAAAAAACAAATCACGAGTGTTAACTGCTCTGCTTTGAATAAAAAGAATGAAAAAATTCTGACATCGAAAAAATAAGCGTCAACTGCAAAATTGAACGTCACTTCAACTGCCTCAGAGGACGACCCGAGTTAAATTGGGAGATCGTTTCTTCTATATGATAAACTCGTGAATCGAAGACAACGTAGATTATACTCGTTCCAATAAAACTAAGATAAAAGGGAACGACGATAGCTTGCATTCTATCGCGTTCGATTGTGATAATGTCTACCTTGAACTTTTACGAAAACCAGGAAAATGTAAGAGAAAACAAGAGAGAGAGAAAGAGAGAGAGAGAGAGAGAAAGAGAGAATAGCAATCCGAATAAAAAATCCGGGAATCTAAAAATAATTGAACACAGTTGTATCGATGAGGATGACGACAACGACGCGAGATTGTTATTAAGAAATTAATAATCACCTCTCCAGCGTTGTCTCCGACGTTAAATGAAGTATAAGATCGGAGCCACATTAAATGCTCCAGCGGACAACAGGAGAATGCAAGTTAGTCTCTGTCGAGTGTAACGTAATCTCTTTGAACGTAGGTACGGCTCATGACACGAAAAGGCCCGTCGATAAACGTACGTCTACCTTTTCAACCAGTGGCAACTATTTGCATATATATGCACTACGTAAACATATTCCTCTCTGTAGTGTGTATACCAATAGGTACTTATCCGATTATAAATGAAAATTCGTCTTCATTTTGTCTTTTCTCTTTTTCACCCATTTTATCCGTATTAAGCACAAAAGCTAGTGGACTCCGATTATTCGATCGATATCCACACATTATCAATCTATGTCAATTCCTGGAAATTCTCAACGAAGATGATTATATATGATACTTATGCGTCACGTTATCATTATATCGTTCAAGTAGAGATATTCAAAATGTCTACTGTGATACTTTTAATTAAATGATCTTCAATCGAGAAACGGAAAGACATGAATCAATAGGAAAAATACGTGGTCATAGATATATGTATAATATATTCATTCGAAATACGAGAAATGAGTTTTAGATATTCAACAAGTCGCACTGTGGGACATTACGAAATGTCGTGTTGAATTTTACCAACACATTCAAAAGAAAAGCCCACTTCCCGGATCGATATCTCTTCAAAGGGGATCAAAAATGTTAACATTGTCGGTTGACGAAAATCGATATCGCGTAAAGCAAAGTAAATTTTGTACGAATTAAATAGGCTAAACTTTCTAGAGGCGAAAGTTGGTAAAACGAGTACAGACGTCAAAGGCGAATGATCGTACTAGTAATAGTGATAGTAATAGTAGTAGTAGAGTTTATGGAATGATGCCAATATCCGAAAAGTTTTACGAAGAGCAAAGCTTTCGACTAGATTTGCAAAAGAAAAGGTCAGACGAAACGTCTTTCCTCGCGAGGCAAAGCTTCTTAACAAAAATATTCGAAAGATCGATATTACACATGCACATATGCATATGTACATAGAAATGAGCTTATACATACTTACAAGGATCCATAAAACGAAATAAATTCTATATACATTCAAAGTAAACTATCTTAAAAGTCGTACCGTAATAAAATATAACCCGGAAAGCGACAACAATTTTTCCTTGACCCTATATTTATACTCGATGCATCACGAACTGCACCACGGAGCTCGTACAGCTCGATAGGGCCATTAAAAAATATTCTCTCTTTCTCTCTCTCTCTCTCTCTCTCTCTCTCTTTCTCTTTCTTTCTATCTATCTCTCCTTCTCTCTCTCTCTCTCTCTCTCTTTCTCTCTCTATCTATCTATCTATCTATCTTTCTCTCTATCACCACCCCCTTCTGTATCTATCATTTTATATGAAATCATTACATAAGAAAGTTTTTGAACGAACAAAGTCAAAACTTTTTTAAAGGAAAAGAAGGAAGAAATTTTTCTCAAAACGTCGATCACATAGATGCTTTGATTTACCTAGCGATAAAAGGTTTCGCTTCGTTTTTTCTTTTTTTTTTTTTTTTTCTAAAGCAAAAGAAAAGCCCTTGCAATTTTAATCGCATTTCAACGACATGAAAAGTAAAGATCGTGCGATATCAATCTCTTCGTTCTATTATTAATAAATTGGACTCTGTCCGTGCTGAAAATTTGGATCGCCAGTTTATTTCTTCTCGGTGACGATCAACTTACGCGATGCAGGAAAGATCTCTCCCAGACGCTCTCCCAATATCTTTCAAGCCGATGCGTTGTTAACTGCTACTAAAATAGAAATTGATTTTGCTCGTATTCGAAAGATTTCACGCGAGACAAAAGTCTCTTTTTTTATTGATAGATCGTAAGTAAATACTTTCTTCCTCCTTTTTTCCTTCTACTATACAAAGAAAAAAAAAATATTCAAAAGACGTACTCGTTAAGCAAAACTAATCTCCGATACGTAAATAAAATCGATGATTCGTCCTGTTATATTAAGAGAAAGGAAATTGTCAAAATTAACGTACAATTTAAAATTGTCGATTTTTTCAATATAAAATTGGATTTATAGGAAAGATGTTGATCGTATCGGTTCAACGTCGATATTGTTTTCATCAAAAACGTATGAGGAATTAATTAAAATGTGGCGCCCATTTTCCTTCCAGATCTAACCTCCCGGTTAATTGTACCACAATAAGTGTACCACAGAAATGACACACAAGGGCGAAAGTAAAACGATCGGAATCGTCTCACAAAGTGAGCTAGCAATTTTGACGGAAGCGCAGGGAAGCACGATGATGAGCTCATTCGCGCGAATAGAATGCACTGAGAGACATAGATGCCACACGATGACGTTCCGCACGATCGAACGTAGTGATACCATGAGAGACCGATGACATAACGCGTCCATGCTCGCTAAACGAAGGCCCATATTACGAAGAGAAGCGAAAACACGCGCGACCAGTTTTTATCGTCGAGTTTTAGATGCCTCTCGCAAGCATGAACGTCATGCATCGACATGTTGCATCCATTGGAAAGTGTATCAATATATTTAATGACACCTCGACGCTATTTATTAAATCTATTTTTCTTTTCGTTTTTTTTCAATGATTTTTCTTTACATTTAATCGATACCTCAAATGATAAAAAATTTTCTTTCTCGTGAGGATCGATAATCGAGGGACCAGTTTGTTCCCATAAAAGAAAAAATAAAAGAACGAATGAATTTAGAAAAAGAAAGAGAGAGAGAGAGAGAGAGAGAGAGAGAGAAGTCTCGTAAGTTAATCACGAAGATGATTCATAGTTGTAACGACGCTTAGAGAAGCACTACCCCAAGTCAGTTTCGCGCGGGGAAAACCGGCCAGTCAGTTAGTCGATGGTTCGCCTCACCCTATGGAAAGAACCAAGCTTTTATCGCGCGATCATCTAATTTCCCCTATCATAAACACGAATCTTCTCCGAATTTCCAAAGTTTTTTCCGAAAAACTACTATCCTCCTCCCTCCTCGTGGACGAACATTTTTGATCGCGATATACATAACAAATAATCCTAGGTAATACGTACAGAAAATTTATCAATTTTATAGTAATCGTCGCGAGCAACGATCCTTTTTACTTAAATTTCATCCTTAAAAGGCTAATCGTATATTTTATCTCTCTTTGTCTCTCTCTTTCTCTCTCTTTCTCTCTCTCATTCTCTTTCCATCCTTCCCTCTGTCATAATAAATCCAAAGTTAAGAAGTAAGTATTCTCGGATAATCGCATTGCCATAATCATCTCTTACTAGGTAATCCTTCCCCTAACTTACGGAGAAAGAAAGCACCGAAAACTTAGAGAAATTCCTAATGTGAAACCATACGAGAAGAATCTTTTTAAAGTGGACGTTCGTGGACGTGTGCTTGAGAAGAGTGGAATGTGGCTGATGATGTCGGATAAGAAATACAGGCCGTGCGTGGCTGAATTCATATCCCGGATAAATCGGCTAACTTACCCTAATGCCGTGTCCTCCATGCCAGCTATCGGGAAGCGATCGATCCCTTTCTCGGTACCTCCATTCTCGCGTCCTCCTTTCTTTCTCCCCCGGTAGTCCAACGCCTTTCCTCTCCCCTTTCACCCTCACACACACTCTCTCTCTCTCTCTCTCTCTCTCTTTCGTTCTCTCCCACTCCCACACACTCTCTCTCTCTCTCTCGCTTTCTCTCTCTCTCCCTCTCTCTCTCTCTCTTTCTTTCTTACTCGCAACCCTTTTAATTCTTCAACGAAGAAGGCCAATAGCGGCAAACTCGAGACTTTCTCTCTTCTTCGAAAGCCGGTGAGCTTACATCTTGACGGTATAACGTACTAACGACTGCCAATAACGATGAGGATGGTGATTGTGCCGCTGGTGCCGCCGCTACTGCTGCTCTACTGATGCAGAACGCGCACACTCTCGCATCAGTCCTCCGCGGACGCACGACGACGATGACGACGACAATGACGACGACGACGACGACTATGATCTGTGTATTCTTCTCCTCGTGTTCTCTCGATAGTACGTAATAGCCCTGCGCGAGAGAGAATATTACGTAGCACGCCCACCATCATCACCACCACCACCACCGCCATCGCACGACAACGCTTCGCACCCCTTATTGTGAAACACGACATGCGCCGAATCTAAGGGTGCGTTTTTCATTAAATTTCGACCTGTCGATCTTTATTTTTATCTTTATCTTTCTTTTTTTTCTTTTTTTTTTTTTTTTTTTTTTTTTTATTAAGGATAATATTCATAATTGTAGATCTAAAAATGAAAAGATTTAACGAAATGTTTTAATAGACAAGGTAAGTAAGTTAAGTAAATTAAATAAGTACAAATCTTTTAGGACTTACTCATTAATAATGAATTTTATAATCGAAAATGATGATATCATCGTTGATAACAAAATCTTTGTGATTCTACATAGAGGAAAGATCTTCTGGCATGGTTCGCGAAGAGAGTAGAACATTAATCAAGTCAACTTTTTCTGACCTTAATAGCTTTTTAAATGCTTCTTCTAAATCTTATTACTTTCGCGCGAACTTTTTAAAACACGCTTTTCTTTTTTTAATCGAAATACAAATGTATCATAACGATTTTTAATTGAATCACTTGCAATATATTGATACATATGATATTCGATGTTGGACTTTCAATCAATCCGCCATTTTCCGATGCATTCAAAGCAAATCTTCCCGCCTTCGATGTTTACCACCCACATGCACGACGCCATTACATTTTGCTACTTGTTTTGGAATGTATTACACGTATTTAAAAACACATGGAAAATATAAGGAAATTTATTAAATACTTGTCCCTCAAAAATCTTCGAAAAGAGATTGTGTAATGAGAAATATAAAATCGTTACATAGTACTTGAAAATTTTATAATAAATCTTCATCTTGCAACTTTGGACTCGTAACTCGCGTAAATATCTTCGAAAAGTATTTGATCTACATAAGAACCCAGCTTTATGCATACAAGTGATTCATGCGCCATCTCCGAACTATCAACAGATATTAGTGCTAGCCAGTGCCAGTGCGTCAGCCGATCATATAGAGTGTGTATATAATCTGCCAAACGTGTATCTATGATTACTCAAGTTCGTATGCTTCTACGATTCCCGCTTTTACGTTCTGTCAGTTTTCGTGACTTTTTAATCTTCGAGCGAACAACGAAGCAACAAGACCTTATAGATAAGTGCTCATTAACGAACGAGTCATGGGGGACGCAGCGATGAACGTCGCAGTGTCCGGTGGCGGTAGTCAGCGTGTCGTCAAAGAAGGCTGGCTTCAAAAACGCGGTACTGCCAAGTCGTTTATAATGTTTTTATTTATAAAATTGGCTTCTCGTCGACATCTCCAAGTCGACTTATTATATCTTCTGCTTCTTATGCCATATACAATTGTTCATGCGTATTTTCATTTGATGACAAGAATAATTAGTATCATTAACAGCATTATTTTTATATATTTAATGTAGCATTTATTAAATCCACATAATTCTATTATATGTAAATCAACTAGTTTATATTTTATAATACTAAGAATCATTTATGTAAACTTTTAACAAATAATATATTTCATAAATCGAAAATTACTAAAGGTTTTATAATCTTCTCTTAGGAGAGCATATAAAGAATTGGAGATCAAGATATTTCGTCCTCAGAGATGATGGTACTTTGGTTGGTTTCAAAGCTAAACCAGATCAACAAATGGCAGCTACAGCTCAACCATTAAATAATTTCACAGTACGTGGATGTCAAATAATGTCTGTGGATAGACCTAAACCATATACATTTGTGATCAGGGGTCTACAATGGACAACCGTAATCGAAAGGACCTTTCATGTAGAAACAGAACAGGAAAGAGAAGACTGGGTAGCAGCAATTAGGTACGATTTCGCAAATATACTTATTTACTGGAAATTTTATTAATTTATCATCATGTTATCATCATGTATAATATATAGAAGATCATAAACTTAATATTTTAAAAATATACTATATAATATTTTTAAAATATAGATATAATATTATTCAATAGGTATGTAGCCGATAGATTAGAGAATGAAGAACAACAACAACAACAGCCACAAATGCAACAATCTTCTTCATCAGAAGATATCGATATGGAATCTATGGGAGGTGGGAGGTCAGATTCATGTGGATCTCTTAGTGTAGTCTCTGCAGACATTGATGGCGGCAGTATCGATGAATTATCTGCTAAGTTCAGTGTACAGGGAACTTCAAGTAGTAAAAGCAGTGGCAAGAAGAAAGTAGTATGTATATTATAACCAATATAATATTTATATTTATTGTACTTGTAAATATAAGTATATATAATTTATTATATTTATCCTATATATATTTTTTTACAGACTCTTGAAAATTTTGAATTCTTAAAAGTTCTAGGAAAAGGTACATTTGGAAAAGTAATTTTGTGTAGAGAAAAAGCAACAGGACATTTATATGCTATTAAAATTTTAAGAAAAGAAGTTATCATTCGTAAAGATGAAGTTGCACACACCCTTACGGAGAATAGAGTTTTACGTACTACAAGCCATCCTTTTTTAATTGTATGTACCTGTATTATCCTATAAAATTATATAAAATCAAAGACATATTAATTTAGAATTAAAAGTTTAATAAACTGCATTGTTGATTTTAAATATAAATAAATCTTATTGCTTATATTTCAGTCTTTAAAATATAGTTTCCAAACGGCAGACAGACTATGCTTTGTAATGGAATATGTAAATGGCGGAGAATTATTTTTTCATTTAAGTCGATCTCGTATATTTACTGAAGATCGTACTCGATTTTATGGAGCTGAAATAATTTCAGCATTGGGCTATCTTCATTCTCAGGGTATCATTTATCGTGATTTAAAATTAGAAAATCTCCTTTTGGATAAAGATGGGCACATAAAAATTGCTGATTTTGGTTTATGTAAGGAGGATATCACATATGGTATGTATCATTTATATAAATTATAGATCATCATTTACATGAATTATGAATTATAAATTATAAATTATAAATTATAAATTATAAATTATGAATTATAAATATAGGAAGAACTACAAAAACATTTTGTGGGACACCCGAATATTTAGCACCTGAGGTACTGGAAGATAATGATTATGGACGAGCAGTAGATTGGTGGGGTGTGGGTGTTGTTATGTATGAAATGATGTGCGGTCGATTACCTTTTTATAATAGAGATCATGAGAAACTTTTCACCCTTATTCTATTAGAAGAAGTAAAATTTCCCAGAACTATTAGTAATGAGGCAAAAGACATGTTGGGTGGTAAGTTAAATTCTTTTACTCGAGCTATTAAAAGATAAATGTTTAAATAAATGCAAAATTCTTTAATGCCTATGTTTTTAGGACTTTTAATTAAAGATCCCAGTAGAAGATTGGGTGGTGGACCTAATGATGCAAAGGATATAATGAATCATGCATTTTTTTCGTCGATTGACTGGTCAGATCTTGTACAGAAAAAAATACCACCGCCTTTTAAACCACAAGTTACATCAGATACCGACACGAGGTATTTTGATAGTGAATTTACCGGCGAAAGTGTCGAACTTACACCTCCTGACCAAGGTTGTTTAGGAAGTGGAGGTGGTTTAAATTCTATTGCAGAAGAACAGGAACATTTTCCTCAGTTTTCTTATCAAGAAAGCCATTCTGCTGCAACTTCTTCCATTGTTTCTATTAATCACTGACAATACCATAAGGTTTTTGGATTCTTATGTTGAAGTGTGTGATGAAGTGCATGGAGAATCAGGTAGATGTATATTTAAGAACTGTCCGAAGCTTAAATATTCTTGAAACATAGATCAGTCAGATTTCTGTCGATTTTTGATGCTTTTTTGTGCATCTACTATAGTTTGACACATATCTCCAATGGTAGATAATATATCCATGCATGCACACATGTATACATATAAACATTCACTAAATTGTACATGGTAAATTCATGTACTGTAAGTACAGAATTGGGTATTACTCTTTATACCTGCGCATAAAATCGAACATTATATAATGAGGATTTATCTATATTTTAAAACAGTGTAGTTATTTTAAATATGATCTTCTAACCATCTATAACATGAACAATGACTCTTCTATTATTGAAGACAGCGATTATTATAATAATTCTAACTTTGTTTAATGAAGTGTAATACTCTACACTTTGCAGCTTTATTGTCCTTTCAGTAGAATAATTATATATATATATATAATTGTATATATATATATAATTATATATATATATAATTGTATATATATGTATATGTATATGTATATGTATATATATGTATATGTATATATATATGTATATGTATATATATGTATATATATGTATATGTATATATATGTATATATATGTATATGTATATATGTATATATATATATATATATATATATATATATATTTTATATGTATGTATAGAGACAACTCCCCTGTTCTTCTTGTTTCATAATTTGTCAGTAGATCGTTGCGTGAAAAAAATGTTAAGTTTAGCCAAGTTAGAAGCTGATATGCTATCAAATGGTTTTGCCATTTTTAAAATGGAAGTGTAGCTGTAAATGATGACAGCTTTAATTGTATTATTGTATAAATTTCAAATTTTATTACAATTATTTGTTGTAATATCTAAGAATATCAAGATAAAACAGAATTTGTTTGCTTCGTGTAAAGCCACCTCCCACATTTATGTATCATGGTTGAACCAGTAAATGTAAGAATCTGATAAAAATGCAGATGGAGATGTAAATCACTATATAATTATAACTATTATTATGATTATTTGTATTATTACTATTATTATAATTCTTATTTTATTATAATATGGTATAATGATTATATATACATATATTTATATTTTAAGAATTAAAAAATTATATTGTATATCCGTATCATTTATTTCTTTCCTTTTAATTTGTACATTGTTTTAGCAATTCTGTAATTCGTTCTAAATATCATTAATGTTTATTAAACATTGGATTGCATAATACATTTATTAATTCTAATAGATATTTACGAGTATATATTCGAAATGAACGCTTAAAATGTAATTAGTATGTAGAATACTGCAAATCATTAGAAGTGATTTACTTCATAATCTTAATATTTTTATTGTACGTACATCTATTTTGTACTATATATATATGTATATATATATGTATATATATATATATATGTATATATATATGTGTATATATATATATGAGCCGTTTTTTTTTAAAGTGGTATGAATCCAACTTTGAAAAAAAATGAGTTGAAATTAGTTTCATGAGAGAAAAAGAGAGAGAGAAAAGTCTCTTTTTTATATTTATAATAACAAAGTCAATACAGTACAATATCCTCATGAATTGGTCAAAAGAAATTTGGCTGTTAGATGGAATTGCATAAATGTTTTTTTTTATTGGTATGTCTATTTGCAACAATGAATCAATTTTTTTATTGTTTTCGCAGAACTAATTAGGAGAACTCATGACTTTTTTTGATTCTAACCTAACTCAAAACTACGATGTATTTATATAGTACATTCAGAATGTTACAACTCAAGATCATATGACAGACATACACCAAACAAAACAAAAATATAAACATGGCATTAATATAGTTAAGAATTGTTTATTCTGACAATAATGTAAATGTGATTATAAATTTCTATTGTCAGGTCATTAATTTTATTAAATGACTGAGATTTTGGAGTTGCAGAAATAGCGCTAAAAAAAACAGATTTGTTATACAAACCTCAGGATTATTATAAAGTAATAGAGCAAAGTCAAAAAACAAATTAATTTTCTTTTATATAAAATGAAATATAAAGAATTTGTTTCATAAAATCTTTAAAAAAGGCAGTTTTAAAAAGAAAGATATATGTTAACAGAAAAACTATAAATTGGCTAAAAATTTGTTGCATGAGGTTTAAAAGGAACAATTTCTATTAAATTTTGTACAAAAAATTAATAGAAGAAAATGACAAATTTAAGTTCAAGATTTATCTGCAAAATAAGACCAAAAAATTTTTCCAAAATAATATCATTGCCATTATACATCAATTCAAGATCTATAACATCAGTTAAATATAGCAATATGAGTTTATTACATTATATACCTCCAATTCATTATAAATATTTCAGGACACTTTGTACGAAGCCAAATGAAGACTAAAATATGAATAAAAGTTATTAATATTATTCTTTACGATATACTCTAATTTTTTTCTGATAGCTTTTCTTACTAAATTATAATTATTTTCAAAAATGTTTACCAAACCAATAAATTTTTATATTCAATGATATATCTTTTGGTTTTCGTTTATTTTATAATTATTATTATTTATATTTTAGAATTACATTCCAGAAAAGTCTACGTAATTCTAAAATTTATCTGCTTCAATTAAAATATAAATTTAAATTTTGTATTATTTCACAATTTCGGCAATTTATTTTTCTTGAAATTGGAATAAATTCATTTGCTATTAATAAAAACACCGCTTCGCTCTGAGAATATTTTACAAAATTGCTACATAATATAATAAAATATACCTCAAATTTTAAAGGTACAAACAAGGTTATTAGCTTTTAACAATATTTAGACATATTAAAATGCAAGACATATGCAAGAGATATTACATATTTCGAAATAAAGGAAAATGAATTTATACCACTTCTAAAAAAAATTCATATATAAGTATACATATTTGCAAAGTTCTACTAATATTATTTTTATAATTCTTCATTTTTTTCTAGACCTAATTCTTTTAGATCATACGAAGGCATAAAATTATCTTTTACAAGCCAAAATTGATCTATAACAGCACCTTCTTTATCATCAGAAACCTATTAAAAAAGGAAAAGAAACAGTAACAAACAATTTATAAAATGCATTAAGCTTTAAAAAATGCTATTATATTCATCAGTTTACCTGTTCTAGATATAGATGTGTATTATTAAACGCTTTCATACGCGTATATCCATAATCAGAACTATGAAATGCTGACCAATCTGGTGAATTAGGAATAAACTTCTCTCTTCCTTCTTTACACCCAGCAGATCCTGTTACCAAATGTACAGGTGCTTTATAATTCTTATATGGTTCTTCATAACTACCATTGTATACCTATCAATTTAATTGATTTATTATTCTGTCAATGTATGCAAATATCTATGATTTAAATCATAAATATTGTCTTGTAATGACCTTAAAGTTATACATAGGCCACGTTCGTTCAAAACTATGTTCATGTGCCCATAGCATTAAATCAACTTTATGTTTAAGAAATAAGTCTTCCAAACCAAACCAATTCAACAATGGCAAACCAACTCTAACTAAGCTTTGATGATTGGTACAATCATCTGCATTTGCATTACTGCAATACATTGGTCTATGTCCAAATGTTACTATCCAAGGACGTTGAGCCCTGTGATTAAAAAGAAGTATTTAATATAATAAAATTATTTAAATAACATTTTTTAATTACCTAGTCTCAGGTCTATTTGCAGCTTCTAAATCTTTATCAAGCCATTCATATTGTTTTATAAGCTGTTTTATTCCATAATTCATAAAATAATAAGCTTCTGTTTCTATACCTATAAAATGTATAGGACCCATATCAAAACTATACCACAGTCCTTCTGAATCACTAGGCATTGTAAAGCGTGCTCTGTAAACAATTACAGGAGACATAGATGCATATATGAGTTAGTAATATTTGCTTTAATAATTAAAAAAAACAAACCTATAATTACTAAAATTATATTTTTCCTCGTGATTACCAGGTACAGTCATATAAGGTATATAAGCAGCAACTCCTTCAATTTGTCTCATAAATTCATCACCAACTTTAGCATTTTCAGTATTCATGTCATAAGCAAAATCTCCAATATGTATCGCAGCATCATATAGGCCACGATGAGTTTCTTCCTGTAGCCTTGATAAACTTTGAGCATTTTCATTTCCCATATCACCAAAGATTACAATGTGTGGTGACCATTTGATAGAGTTATGAGGAGCAGTCTTTATATAAAAGACATTTGACCAACCATATCGACTTCCACATTGATACACTAATTTACATATATTATCTTATAATATTTAAATTAATATTTTAAAAATATAAAATATATAAAGTATCTTACTGTAATGACTGTCAGGTGTAAGATTTTTCAACCAAACTCTATGAATATATTGTTGCCTTTTTTTTGATCCCCCATCAACAAAAAGAGTTGAATTTCCTGTGGCAGTTAGAACAAAGCCTCCTATACCATATTCAACAATAGATTCACCTGTATCATTTCTTGTACTCCATGTAACAACAATGTCATGAACATTATCTGAAAACGTAAATAATAAGTTTTATTTTTTAATATTTCTTTAATATCTATTAATAAATATTCTTTAATATAATTATATTTCTATCCTCTTTTTATATTTACAAAAGAAGCAATATAATTCATATAGAAGAAACATCAAAAGTCGATTGAAGTTATTGATCAGATAATGGATTTATAGATTTTATACAATAAAGGAAAGAGCAGTAATATATTTTGTAACATATATGTTATTAGAATACTTACCACCATATGAAAGATGCACTGATTCAGGTTGAAAATGTACAGTACTGTATGTTGAAGAAAAAATGGATAGAACCACAAGAACGGTAAACAAAGCCATGTCACTTTGCACGAACAACGTAAAATATTTTATCTGTAACAATGATTCATTAGAATATAACGAGATGATCAGGAACGCGTTTTTTTTTTTTTATAATATTATTATTGCAAAAAAAAAATCTATTATTACTTTATACTTTTGTATTAAATGAATATAAACAATTATTTCATTAAAAAATATATAATGTAGGAATTCTTTCTAAAAC